ATGTATAGTCTCAATACAGTACTCCTGCTGAAATATACCAGACATCTAGATAAGATCCTCAGGAGCAAAGGGAAAATATGGGACTCTGGGAGTGGAATGCTGGGATGTTGAATACTGGGGATTAAGGGGTAAAAATGACAGCTCCTAATAAGAGCCTGAGAGAAGCTCAATCATAAAGGAACCAAAGTACTGGACATGCCCGAAAACATTAGTGACACACTGCAAAAGCATGCTCAGCATCCAGCACGGAGAAGAAGACAAACCACACAGAATGTAAATGAATACATGTACTGTAACATAATTAAATTCCTCCAGGCATGCATAGACACACACTCTCACACACACACACACACACACACACAGACACAGGCTGATGAACAGCAAGTCAACACAGTGTTTAAATTCCAGGGAGACATCTGTAATGAGGACTGAGTCATTTGGATTTAATTAGAGGCAACCAAGTGGAAAAGTTGGGAGTAAATCAACTCAAAGTGATTTCAGTGAAGAAAACTCAATTCCAGAGTGTAAACTCGATTCGCCATCAATTTAATTAATGTTGGTTTAAATGGAGGCACTCAGCTGATTGTGTGTCATAAAACATTGCTGAGGTTTTGGCTTCACTCTCTGCATCTCTATCTCGCTCTCTCATTTGTCCCTTCTCTTCTCTCAAACCAGTGTCGAGCTAAAGAGCAGCGCTCTAGTGCCACCTTGTGTCTTTCTATGCATCCTACAACAGAAGAGACAGTCCTCTACACTTTTGTTTTTAACAGAAAATGAAGATGCTAATTTAAATATACCAACTTGTGTTTCTGTGTTACTAAGATCCAAAGATTTTTTTCAACTTCGGAGCTGGGGCTTAACAAGATCATATAGAGGACAAGACCTGTTTTTGTTACTCAAAAATATGTTTCTTTTTTCTTTTAATGTAATTTACTGGATAATTTCACCTCTCCGGGCCTCTAAAAAGTATTCAAATAGTACAATTTGAGAGGGAAGTGTCACATGTGTAAAACAACTTATACGTAACCTGTAACAAGGACTAACAAGTAGATTTAGCTGTCTTTGAGGGGGTCACAAGCTAATAACTTTTGGGAACCATTGGTATGAAGGCACGTTGACGGCAAGTGCACTGTGCTGATTTGTCCTCTAGATGGCCATAGCTACCAAGTGCAGACCAGAGGGTCAGAGAAAGGAGGACAGTATTTGCAGCGCAGCAGGACGCAATTAATGTGCATCAACAGAAGTCCTCACTCTCCAAAAGCAGCATCCTATTGATAATATCCAGAGGAAAGTACAGGATTGCAATGGCTGTAACTGCAAACTTGTGCATGCTATTGTGTGAAGGAAAAGAAAAAAAAAGAAAAGAAGATGAACTTCATGTTGCAGCGACAAATGTTGGCATGAAATGCTTGACTTATAATCAAGTTTTGGTACAAAATGAACGAGACAGACATTCCTTCACAACTTTCTAAATAATTTGGTCGTCACACATCAACCAAATGACCAAGTGTAAAAATACAGCTCCAGACATCTGATGACAAGTATCATGTTTGTACAGTGGGGCTGACATAGATCCGTCTGCCACCTCGCTATCAATCATGTTAAATCAGTTGAGTTGTGAGAAAATGGGAAGGTTAAAATGCTAATGACTTCAAAAATGAATGAATTTAAGACTGGCAGGGTAGAAATAAATGAAGCGCCATTGTTTGTGGAATGAAATTAAGCTTAAGGAGAGCTGTTAATGAATAGAAATGTTCCATCATTGTGCTTACGTACGGCACAAGGCACAGGCATGTATTGCAATCTTTGCAATAAAAATAAGAGCAGGGCTTTATGTTTGAGTTGCTATAATAAGTTGTGGATAATGAAGGAAAAATACATTAATCACAAGGGTGAACTTGTGTTGGAGTTGACACCATAGATATCAATTACTCGTCTGTCCTCGCTCTCTTTTCCTCGTCTGGTGTTCAGGGTGGCGACAAGATCACATTAATTTTGATTTAGCGCCTTCTGGGCGTTCTCAGTGTCAGCTGTACTCTATATGTGGCTGTTTGTAAGTGATCTGAGCTGTAAGTGTAAGACATGCTGATGCTCCTGAAATAAAACCTCTATCTCTGGATTACCCCTCACCTGTTGCCAATAAACACTTTATTGGAGAGAGAACATGGACCCATATTTGTCCGTAACCTCTTATTTCTATGTTCCACGAACTTACTACAGACACACATGCACTCCACACATTCATGCACCGTCTGCGTCTCAGTAGTCAGTGTCCATTTCTGTGTCTCCGACCTGTGGTGGACAAACAAAGGCATATCAGTTTTGTAAATACTTTTGGGACCAGGATTCTTGGAGTCGGCTTTACTTTTTTTTTTTTTTCAACTACAATGAGCAACCCAACACGCTCGGGCTCGCTACCAACTGGCAGTGCCGGCAGGCTGCCCCCGAACCTTGGAGCAGCATCAAGCAGACCGGGCCAGTATCCCAGCAGCCAAAACCCAACAGATGCACCGCACTGAAGACGACATCACAAAATCTGGGGACTAACATTTGAAATGTTCTCCCTCACACATAAACACACACTTATTCACATCTAAATATAAACACTCCCTCAGCTAGGGAGTTAGTGGATGAGTGGAAATAAAATCTGGCGCATCAATTTAATCTCTGCTGATTTCTTTTTGCCTTTGTAGTATCCGTTTCTACATGGCTTTACTTTTCCAACCGAAAGTTTCATTTGTAATGGAGTAGACGAGGGTCCAGACAGTACTGCATGAGTTTTGGAAAGCCAATGCTAGTGGTAATATTTTCATTAATCACTCATATTATCAATTATACTTTAAGACTGCATTTGTCAAAAGCTTACATTTGATGCTAGTAGAGAGGAGTTACAATATGCTTTGCTTATTATTAATAATTCATAAACTCAATATTTTGCTGTCCACATGTGTACATCGGATGGATGAGCTGCGATCCAGATCCAACGAACCGATTATGCGGCACATAAAATCTGGACATATTCATTTATAAAAATAAATTATTAATTTACAAAAACAAATCAATGGTTAAGTGAATCAATAAATGAATAAAATCTCATTGCACACAGTTTTGCTGTATAGCTGTCGTCCAGGAAGAGCCTCCATTATATCTACTATTTCAATATCGGCTAATATCATCTGTCGCAGTCAAATATCAAGTTCTAACTAATATTAGATTTTTTTTTTCTTTGTGTCTGTTGGCATCAGTCTCTGCTTAGAAAGACACTTTCAGGACTATACAACACCTCCGAACTGATCGATGCCATGCAGTGAGGATGTCCTTACACAACAGTGTGCTGTGTCGATCCACTGAGATGTTCAGAGAGAATATATTCAGACGTTAGACACATTTTGGTACTGTTCTTGTTTCATTTGAACCCAACCTCTTTCCAAGCACTGCTCTGTGCCTTCTCTGTCAGCTCTCTAATAGTGGATTAGTTTGGGCTTGTAAATGCTGTAAAGCTCTGAGAATGAACATTGATCTTGTCGGTTTAATGAGAAAGCACGAGGGACAGACACTAGCAGCGTCCCTCCTTGCCTCTCCTTTGCTCACGATCTCTTTTTAACAAACTAACACACGTTCTCTTCTGCACTCCATGCTGACAATCACAAGAACTATAAATTTGCTTGTCATGCAGCCACGTCAGCTGGCATCAGGGTTAAAGGTGCAGCAATTTTCTGGGAAAAATCACCCAAAGGGCGAAAAGTGAATGTTATGTTAGGAGCAATGACTTTACTGCCAAAGCAAAAGGGAGAAAAAACACACACTCACACAGGCACATCCTGTCCTCTTTCTCCAGACCAGTGCTGGCACTATACGTCCTCGGGCCTGCCTTGGCTGGTGGTTTGATAAATTGGTCCATTCATCTCTTCGATGTGCATTGTGTCAGTGAGTTCGTGTGTATTTAGATCTGCGAGTGTATGCTTGTGTGCCGTATGTGTGTCGTATGTGTGTGTGTGTGTGTAAGTGTGTCTGCCTGGGTACATTGTCTGAGCTGTGACGTGTTTGGCTTCCTCATGCGAGCTGCTGTCACAGCCTCAGAAAGCGTGTAATAGGCGCCCATTCTCCCGGAATAAATGCACATCCATACACTAGTGTGAAAATGTGGCATTTCAAAAAGACCCGGGATAATCGAACAGAAGAAAAAAAAAATCAAGAAATGTCATTTTTTTCAACTAAGCTCTAAATTTGGTGCATGTGATTGATTTTGGAAGTGTTTGCGGTCCACGGTGAATTAATGCAATTTTCCATAGATAAAGGTTATTGTTGGCAGTGCAAAGCAACAAAAACGGGGTTTCTCTGAATTTTTACTGTGAGTGGCTATGAAATGTTGTCTTGGTTTGATTGTTATTCAAAAGCAACTGTTTGTTTATTCAAATGCCAAAGAAATAGTTACTACTGAAAAATGGGTTCATTTGCAGCAATTTGGTTTTGCTGAGATAATAATTTGTAGAATCTGCCAGAAGTGTGTTTCATTTCAGTGGGTCTGAATAAGACGTACAGCAATAGACTGCAATCATCCTCTATTGTAGCTCGTCTGTTGACTACTCAGCAAATTGCTTTCAGTTCCTCAGAATAACATCAACATGTCTGCAGAGATATTGATGAGAAAAGGTGAGCAATGGTGGAAATATTCATAACGTTTTGGTAGCAGATGGTCTTTTTTTGGGGGGGGGGTATTTTTCCTACTTCAATAAAGTAGGGTGTTTTTTTAAATTTGATCGACTCTTGTTCTACTAAAAGACAGCAAATAGAGGGAAATGACCATCACACATTTCCACCAATGTGCTGTTTTCATTTTGCAGGTTTTAACTTCGAGTATCAGCACGTTAACAAAGTCTTAACAATTAATCGTTGATCCAAATGTTAAAAAAAAATAAAATAAAAATACCACAGGATAATTATTCATGGGAATCCCTGTATATCATCGGAATCCCTGGCAACCTGCCAGAGACACTGGACATTGTCTTCAGTCAAATGCATGCTGGGGAAACTGCAGAAGCTCACGATACCAACACCATCCCGTCCACAAGAAGCACGGCTGAGGAATGAGCCTGTTCAGTATAATGTGATAAGGGGACTGTAGCACACTTAATGAGGCTTACCATCACGCTATGGAAACAGCATGTCAATACAACAATCATTTTATTTCAGCGATTTTTGGCGCTCTTTCAGTCTCTCTATTCATTTTTTTATGTAAGGTGATATGCATGTGGGTGCACAGTGCGGAAACCTACTCACTCGACCAGTGCTCCCACTCACTCACTCACTCTGCTAATCCGGCGTGCAGTGTACACTATCGCGCGCACTGTGTGAGCCGAAGAGCGCTTCCTGTCTTTCATTCATCCCGGGTGAAGGCTGCTCACACCTTCCTCTTCTTCTCCTCTCCCCTCCTCGGCCCTTCCCTGCACGCTGGGATAGCTCACTTTGTTTTTGTTTCCCCCTCCGCGGTGCCTTTCGGTCGGAGTAGTAGTGGATGATATCAACAGCGGTACGTCTCTTCTTCTTACCTCCGCGATACTATGGACTAGAGCGGAGGGCTAGAGGACACGCGCATCACGACAGAGAGCAGCGCGAGTGAGTTCTTCTTCTTTTTTTTTTGAAAGATTTTTTATTTTTTTTGGAGGGTACGACGCGATTTAAAATCAAGACACAAAGAAGATATCTGTATTGCGCAGCAGCGTTACCAAGGACGCTCCAGCTGGCAGGACTCGCGTTAAGTTTTGGCGGATTTTACGGCACAGGTGCGTGGAAGGATTACAGACGTTTGGCGGATGGTTGTCGGAGAGGAGTCGCTGCCTCTGCGCAAGGTGAGTGATGGACAGCGAACTGAATGGGGAATGCTGACAGTAGAGTTTGTTCAACAGATGCGTTATTGACATCCTTATTTGACGCCTGGGTCATTTTTTTCTGGCTGTTGCCAGCAGAATACTGAAGGTTTTGGCACCTTGAATCACTCAATAGCTCCATGAAAGTCCTGCTGGGAGAGGGGTGTCAGTAGAGTAACCTCTGCAAACTTTCTGGTATTTAATCTACAGATAAATCAGAGGCAAGGTATTGATTTACATTTTCTAATGAGTATCATCTACTGCTGCGTGATTATATATTATAGTCTTCCTATTGTAGCCTATATGCTTCCTGGGTATTTGATTGAACAATATCGCATTAAAGTAGCACTTTGAGTTACCTATGAGGTCAATGCATGCGTTTCTGGAGCGTCTCAAGGTGTAGATGATGTAGTGTAAGGGCTGCATGTAACTTATGATTTTAGTTCTGGATATGGCTAGTTGATTGTTTGGTCAATAAAATGTTGGCAAACAGTGACTAATGTCCAAGGTGAGGTCCTCAAATGTGTTGTTTTGCAACACTGCAAACTCAGTTCAGTGACAAAGACAGAGGAAGGCAGCTCATCCTGATGTTGGAAAAGGTGAAACCAGAGAGGGTGGTGTTTCCCGCCTGAAACACAACTTAAAATATGAATTGATTATCATTATATAACACATGGATCTTCTGGCCACTGGCTATTCAAATAACTCGGCTCATTTCATTTCAGCTCCAGAGCAGTTTGAATTAATTTAGGAAACTTGGCCGCCCGCTGTCATTTGAATTAGATGCAGGGATTTTCCTCGTGATTCAGAAACTTTTCATTGCAGTGCCAATCCAGGCTCTGGCACACCTACAATAATGACTTGATGTGAAATATGAAGACACGTGTCAGATGTATCATGGATTAGGTCTGATACTTGCTGCATCTAGTTTCACTGCGGCTCCCATCCCTCTCATTGAGAGCGCGCTCAATGCAAGTATTTGTCACTTTGAGAAGAATGCATCAGTCTCACACAGGGCATCTGTGGCAGGATGATACCAGCTTATGGCCTTTACACAGCACTCGCCTGCCTGTCACCAGGACTGAACCCCTAACACACACACACACGTACATACATGTACATACACAAAGTACATATCCCCAAATATTCATTCAGAAACAATGAGTGTCATGAAGTCGACAGTTCAATTCATTTGTGTCATCACTCGCAATTAATATTTCAGTCCTCAGAAAAGGACTTTTTATTGACTACGAGCTTCCCTCTCTGCAGTCTATACTCTGAGTCTATTTTCCCACATGTAGCCAAAGCGACTGAGCAGAGCTGAGGCTTCATGCTCTGTTTGTTTACATGCAGTTATTGATCAGCATGTGCTGACTGAGTGTCTCAGGGCTAGAATAGAGAGAAATGCACCTTGAGCTGACGATCATTTTCACTGTCGTGAATCTGTCAAATAATTGATTTTGGTCCATGAAATGTCAGAAGTTTGTGAAAAATGCCCAGCAAAGCTTCCTAGAGTCCAAAAACCCTTTTGCAAAATGCCTGTTTTGTCCAAACCACAGCTCTATATTACAGCTGGAACGATTAGTTGATTAATCGATTAGTCAACAGAGGTTGTTGATAAGTTCTCAAAGGAGGATTTGCTTCTTTCCTTTGTCTTGTGGGATCTTAAACATCTTTATCTTTGGCTTTTGAGCTTTAGTCGAACACAACAAGACATTTGCATCTTGGGTTCCGGAAATTGTGATAGACATTTTTCACAATTTTATGACTTTATTTAGACCAACCAATTAATTGATCGATAATGAAAATAAGCATTGTTTGCAGCTCTGTTCTAAAACCCAAAATGTTCAGTTTATTGACAATGAAAGCAGTAAATAACATTTAGAAGGCTGGAACCAGCGATTCTTCTTAGAAAATGACTTAAGAATTAATATCAGAATTGTTGCTGAATACATTTCTGTCGATCGACTGTTTGTTTCACCATATTCCATTCGGTTACAATTGAGTTAAAGGGAGTTTTTCTATGTTTCATTGTGTGTTTCGTAGAATATGTGTTTACAAAGTATAGATAATGTTGTTGGAATATATATAAACAGTTTGTATCCATGTCACTTGACATGTACTGCACTGCACATAACCTCAGAGCCAATACTAAAGTCAAGGAGGAAAAAACGTGAAAGAAAATAAAGCCATTTAATTAGCATGTTGATAATGTGGAGCATATGCAGTGTAGCTGTTGCCAGCTCCGAGCCATCAAGAAGTACAGAAGCCTGTTTCATTCTCCCTCTTTCTGTCTCTCACGAGGTGCTGAACGGCATCTGGGGGGAATCTGATTAACCGACTGGCATAAATTACCCAGTCCTGAAGGAATAAACGGAAAAGCGATGTTGTTCTTGCAAAGTGCCCGCTTTCCTTTAATACATACAAATAAAGTATATGCACACTCGCGCACACACACACAAAGAAAGACACACACACACACAAAGTCCGGGAGAAATAATTGAGGCAGTGATGCTCCTGAAAAGTGGCTGCTGCTTCTTCACTTTTTATGAGGACATGGATTGATGGAACGCGCGTGTACGCGCGCGTGTGTGTTTGTGTTCATAGATGTGTAAGTGCTCTGGTTTGTCTAAGACCGACAGCATCTCATGTGTAGGTGTGTGTCTTTTGTGTCTGTATGTTTTCCTCCTGGAGTGCTCCATAGCAACAGGCAGCATATCTTCTTCAAATATCTTCTTCTCAGACACCGCATGCTGTGACCTTTCTGCTAACTGTGTGCAGTATTTGCATGGGTGCATCTGAGTTAATGTGTGCGTGTCCATGTAGATCAACGTATGGGTCATTTGACCTTTGCTAGTGTACATTCATTAATAGCTGCATAATAGCTAACATGGGGCCGCCCGTTGTGCCCGTCTACACAATCAAGATATTGAATCCGGCAGCATCGGGGCAGTGCCAACCTTTTCCAAAGAGCTTTTGTGCGTCTGTTCCAAAGCAGATATCGTCACAATTGTGCAGTATTGATAAGGATTCGGCGTGCTTTGAACAAGTGGCGGTTTCTCAATCTTAGATTATGAGTCTCTCAGCCGGAACAAGACATCTTTAATATATATCTTGACACGGTTGTTGTGTTATGTTAATATCCGTGTTAGGGTAATAACTGGTTGCATGTTTCATATCCGGATATAGCAGACAGAGCTCTTTAGAAATCAATTTTCTTTTGCTCCATCACCATGATCGGAAACTGGCCTGCTGCCAGACAGGGAGGGGATGAGGGAAGGAGAGGGGGATATTTGTGGGTGCATTACTGAATGAGGAAAGACAAATATGTTTATCAGATGTAGAATTCATTCTTTTTCGTCTTTGATTCTGTCTAAATAAGTTAGTTGCTTTCTCAAAACTTCAGAGACATTCTCACAAACACACTGAGGAATAGAATATGAAGAAGCACATGCACTTGATCATAGGTCCTTTCTTCCTATTCATATGGGCTCGGGTGCTGCAAGGTCATGCCCTATTTAATCCATGTGTGTGTGTCTGTGTGTGTGTGTGTTACACAGCATGCAGTCCAAGCTTATTCAGTACATATCAATAGCATATTCCTTTGTGTGCATGTGTGTGTGTGTGTGTGTGTGTGTGTGTGTGTGTGTGTGTGTGTGTGAGAGATGCACAGCATGCACTGCAAGCTCATACATATATATCAACAGCATATTCCTTTGTGTGCATGTATATTTGGTCATGATTTAGACTGCACAGTATGATGTTTATATGTATGCTATCTTTGTAGATGGGGGTATTGCGTGCATGTGGGGACTACGTAACTCATTTCTCTACTGTAGAATCTGTGTGGTGTTGTTGTGTAAAGGCTGTTGTCCTCTCTCCATTTTCTTGGAAATGTTTCTGCAATAGAAAATAAACAAATGGTGCCTTCTCATTTTCTATTCCCGGATCAAACCCACACGCATTTTTCGAAAACATATTTGTTTTCTTTAAATCAAATGGCAAAGGAGGCAGAGTTCATATAACTGAAGCCGACAGTGGTTAATAGGGTGAATACTACTATTGTTGTTACTTTTTTTTCATTTGATCTTATTTGATTGACCCAAAACTAAATCTAAAATATATAGCTTAATGTTTTAGTTGCTTTTCTTGTCGGCTTGTTTTCAACATGGACTTTATTTCTTTTGTACGATTGGATGATTGCATGATCAATGCTTCTCTGTTCGGGTAGCTCCAGTTTGCTGGAAGCACTGTTCTCTAACAAACACTCATGGACCAAACAAGCTCTGGGCTTAACATTTAAACCCCAAAGCTAAAATCAATCATTTCAATGTAATAACACTCGCACTGTCTTAGAGAATACAGCTACTGGCAAACTGAATCAACAAAAATGTCTACAGTGTAAAAGTTAAGTCAATCAATCCCATGGTTCCTATGGTCAGCCTCGGATGAAAACAACAGAAAGAGTCTATTAACACTATTAATCTGGACTTACTTTACCCTGACCTTGACCTGTGTAATTATTCCAGCACAATTCCACAGTGGGTCACGCAGGCTGCCATGTATACATCAGAAACCAATAGTGTTTTTGTACGTTTTCATAGAAACGCTGTGAAAGAGAAAACGAAGTCACACAAATGCAGAGACACACCGCTCTTACAAAAGGTGCATTAATGGGCTGTTTTTTACCTTTTGCTTATTGTGGGGATTCCTGCAGGCAAGGCAACTTACATTTACTCAAGCAACACACACACACACACACACACACACACACACACACACTGTGACAGACACTTAAAGCATATATAAAATCGGAGCCCTGTGATTGACAGTTGATCCTACAAGGATATTTGTGTACATGTCCCCTTAGGACCAAAACACATCATCACCTCTCAGCTGTGTTGTACTAAAACTATTTATATTCCCTCTTTACAGTCAAGCCCCCAGAACCTTGAGGTAATATTCTTATCAAGCTTTTTGTG